CATTAGTTTTTGCCATTAAGTCTAACAGAAGACCAGTGTTGACTAGATTGATAAAATACCCTTGAAATGAGAAAAAGAACAATTGGTTAGTTATTGTTGATTTGACATTGGGTCACGTAAACCATATAAATTAGTAAATTTGACATGGAGCAAATAACATAATTTTTTAACTAAAATATATTTTAGGAAAATTATATTGTTATATATGTCCATAATAAAAGAATATATTGATTTATTCTTATATTTACTGTATAAAAAACTTATATTAATTGAACCTTTATTGTGTTAAAAAATTGATCAATATTTACTAAAATAATACTTTTTTTTTTTTTTAAATCAATAGTTTTTTACTTAGGATTCTTATTATTCAAAGATAATGAAACACTTTATTAAAAGTTATTGAGTGTATGCAAATAATTATGTGCTAAAAAAACTCTAAGGGGGCGTTGGGTTAATTAAACTTAATAATACAATTATAAATAAATTTATATATAATAAATAATGTATTGGGTATAAGTTATACAAAAATATGAGTATTTATTTAAAATACTCTTTATAATTAATATATTTATGATTGTATTTGATAATATAGAATAAATTTATAATAATTTAACGAGTGTAAAACAAAATCAAGAAAATTTTAAAAGAACAAGTTATGAAGCCAACACAAATAACACCACTATCAAATTAAACTACAACTAAATTTCTACTAATAAAATATTCAAAGATTTATCTAGCTTTTATAGTAAAATATTATAATTTTTATTGTAATTTCATTTTTATGTTTCAACCCCTTAAAATAATGCATCAAAATACATATTTTTGATATTTATCTTTTATTACTAACTTTAATATTTTGATATCATCCATCTATGGGTAGTTTAGATTGTTAGAATGAATTGGGGATAGTATGGATAGATATACGGTCTCAAGTTTGATTCTCCATTTAAGCATCCGCAATTTAAGTGAGGGATCGTGACAATGGGTTGTAAGTATTGAAACACAAAACAATTGACAGTAATTTAATTTGACAAACAAATTTTAGAAATGATATTTATTTTATAAAATATATGAAAAGATATACAAACTTTCTTTATTTTTTTCTTTGGACAATTATATATATATATATATATATATATTTCATTATATAATTTATCGAATGTATTTGTGGGATTTTTTTTTGGTAAAAACTAAGAATATAATTTGATATATTTAATGAATTTTAAAGTTTATATATAAATACCAGTTGATTTTTAAACCGAATAAAAAATCCAAACACGAACTGAACTGGTTCAGCGTTCGAACCAGTTCTTAACCAAACCAATAATTCGGTTAACTAGTTTTACTGGTCAATAGATTTCGAACTAGTTTTGCAAGAAGTTTGAAATCAGGCATATCTAGCAAGTTTGAAACTTAACAAACATACCCTAAGAAATTACATAGCACTCCTTGTAAGTTGTTTGTAACAACCAGTTTTAGTCACCATTTGTAACTTTCATGTTTTGTAAACCATCAATGACAACTAATATTTTAGTCATTGCCAAAAATAATAATAATAATAATAATAATAATAATAATAATAATAATAATAATAATAATAAAATAATTTGCAACTAATGTTGTAGTTGCCACTGTCAAATTTCTGATATCCAAACCTTTTGTAACTAATTGATTTTGGTTACTAGTAGTATATATCATTTTCAATAAATAATATTTAGTGCTAACATTTTGGTTGCGAAAAAATCATATTAACAACTATAACTTTAGTTACCAAAATAACATACCCAAAATTTCATTTTATTTCAGGCAGGAACATGGGGCGCCCAAACTCATTCGCAGAATTTACTATATATTTGGCAACTAAAATCTTAGTTGTCAAAAGAAGATAATTTGTAACTAACTAATTAGTTAAGCAACAATAATTTTAGTCACAAATTAAAATATTATTTCTTCATTTTACTGGGAAAGTGGGAGCCAAAAAAATTCATCAACTTTTAGCAACCAAATACATTTTAGTTGATATACATGAGTTTTTGCAACTATTTGTAATATGCACAAAATAATGAGTTTCCAAATGCACCCTAGGCCCTTTATAATTATTGTTAGAAGCTTGGATATTTAGGTAATTGTATCATTTTGTAACTAATAAAAATAGTTACAAATTAATTAATAAATATTTACATCTAATTTAGCAACGATTCAGTAGTTTCAAATATTGTTTTCTGTAACCAAAATTTTAGTTGTGGAATCTCTTGTTGTAGTTGTCAATTGTGTTGTAATTGGTCGCTAATGTGATATTTTTTGCAACAAATCAAATTAGTCGTAGAATATTAATTTTAGACACCAAACGCGAGAATAAACGAGCCCCATAATTTTATTCCCCTTTAGCTGACCGATTGGAATTTAACTACTAAACGTGGGGTATCTCAACTATTTTTGCCTAGTTGCAAAAAGTACTTTTTCTGGTAGTGCATGTGAGTTAATATATATCTATAGCTAGTTAGGTAGGGAGTTAAAGTAGTTGTATGATGAATGTGAATATATATTGTGGCTTAGGCAGTCCAATAGGATATTGATAATTTATATATATACATAGTGAAACATGACTTTTAATCAATTCCGCGATCATAGGCCTAAGTAAACATGTATGGCTTCCAAATCAATTCTTTTTTAAAAGAAAATCAAGACTTTATCTGCCTTTTTCACCATTAAGTTTGACTTTCTTTGTTAATTGCATGCTTGATTGGCGTTAGGAGACATAAATTAATTAATCTCTCCAGCATCTTGTCTTCAAGAGGTATGAGCCCAGCCGCAAGCTCTATTGAAGAAGATAGGTCGTGCAGCGGAAATCCAAAATAATTCAGGCTTGACGACATATCCCCGTGAGTTATTGCTTTATTCTACATTACCTAGCTTGTTTCAAATTTATACGTACTCTTTTTGAAAGCCACTTAGATGCATGGCAAGAACAGTGGAATGAAAACATTACTTTTCTATATATTTATAGCTGTAAATTGAAGATTGTATCGCTTATTATTAAAGTACTTCCCCTCTCTCTCTCAAAATATATGTGCATGTATGAAAATTTTCAACTACGGATGCCCTGAATTTTTTATGTACGGATCATGGGTGAATGTTGTGAGCTAGCGTTGGACGCTCACTCTTGGTCCACACATAAAAAACTTCAGAACGTCGGTACTAGAGATTTCTTGTGTTACCTTTCTCAGATATACATATTATGATGACCTGGAAACCAGGTGATCATTAATTTGAAGTGTAGATTCTAATATATTCATAATCCTTCTCCAGTTTGTTTAATTGTTATTATAAACATAATCATTCTCATCTGATATGGCATTTATCAAATGTTGGTAAACAGAATGTTCGAATTTTTAAAAAAAATTACATTATTTACATTCGTGAATATTCAATTATTAACAAGATACATATTTGTTAGATATACTTGAAGGATAATTAGTTATAGGAATGGAAAATCTGGGCTGCTTGCGATGAAGTAAACACATAAATATGATTCAAGGACCTTGAAATTTAATAAGCAAATCAATTAATTAAACCAAGTCTTTTATCTAATGCGGACATATCCTCAGGAGGAAAGAAATATTGTATAAATAAGTATCTATTATTATTAAATATATTAATCTTGAAATCATAAATATATATATAGTTTGTTGCTGTGTTGTGATCAACTTTCTCATACTAATCATAAATAAATATATATAGTTTGTTGCTCTGTTGTGATCAACTTTCTCATACTAAAAGAAGAAGAATGATTAATGGTTTAGATTGAGGGTAAATTATTTTGTTGAATGAATTACTAATAAATGATTATGATAATTCCAGTCTTAAATAATTAATTAAATAATTTCATATGCATGCCAAACAAAGAACCTTGTTTTAGCGTATGACAGACAAATATATTTAATAATTAAGCTTAAGAAGGGTGTAAACAAGACTTAATCTGAAGAAATCTGTGGTTGATGTAGTTATAACTAAACAAACATAAGCTGAGCTAGCAATATTCTGTTTTCAGTGACTCAACTGAACTTAATATAAAAGGACCTTGTAAGAACATTTTTCATTAATGAAGAAATATTCTCATTAAATCATTTCCTTTAACTAAGCCCAGCCTCCACTCTCCATATTCTGGAAATATAATCTTAACGTAAAGCTTATATAAAATAGGATAGGGAAAGAGAGTTCTATAGAAAAAAAAATAATCAATTGACTCAAGACATGATCTTAACACTATAGCACTACTAAAACCAGCTGTTCATTAAACATCACATTTCGATGACCTTAAGATAGCTTCTGAAGTTGAAATAAAAAAATTTGGAATGCTTCAGATCTCCTCACAACAAAGTATATTACACTACTAGAAGGACTGTTTAATTAATTAGGCAGCATATTAGTTTCTCTGTTCTTTTTATTAATTAATGATTTGGATGAAAATGCATTCTAGAATCTGTCATTTTCCTTAATTTTTTGTTAGTTTGAATAGAAATGCTGTATTGATAAGATGTTAACTATCTAGAGCAAAGATTTTTTTTTGACAAATTAAATAATTGGTAGAATATAGATATGTCTATGTGACTTTTATGATTTAATTAAGAAAAAGGGGAACAGTAATTAACGGTGAGAGGGCAGCATGAGTGGATAAAGGAATGATTCGGTTAGCACTTTTGAAGCAAAATGGAAGACAACCCTAAAAGATGTATGGAAAACCCAAGAAACATATATATATACAAGAGGTTCATGTTTTTTAAGTAAAAAAGCAAAGCATAATCATCTATTTAATTGGACCCATTCATCCATCTCTATTACATTATGCTTTTAATTAATTTCATCTTTTTTTCAATTAAGAAGAACAAACTTTACGTAATTTCATTTCTAATAGAAAGAATAAAGGAGGAAGGGGGTTAATTCACTCAATAACCAAACATTAACATAAAAAACATAAATAAATAAAAAATAATAATAAAAAAAAGAAGAAGAAGAGTTATTAATTTAGGTAAAATAAAACCATAAGTTTTACAAACGTTATCTACAAACAAAACCCACTTGCTAATCTCAATTCTCATGAGAAATATAAAAAAGTTTTAACCATAATATGTATATATGTATAGACTCTGTGCTCCTAAAATGTAAGCTGTGTGGGTTTCTTTGGATTTATTTGAATATATATAGCTCAAAAGGAGTAGATTTGATCAACACTTTTCATCACCTGGACTTGAGTGATAAGACACTTTATGTAATGGGCAGTTTCATCCAACAAGCTGCATAAATCCATTGCTTCGCCTCCTGGAACTAGCTTTCGAAGCTCTTTCGCATGGCGAAATCCAACTTCTTCATCATCATTCTTCTTCTTCTTGTTCTTCTTATTCTTTTTATTCTCTTTCAAAAGTTTTTTCTTATTGTTGAATCTTGATCTCTGGCGCCATGCTTTGTAATGAATCTTCCAAAGCAATGCCCTACTCCAAGCTCTCCTTGAACCAACAGCCAAAGCCAATGATTTATCAGCTGCAATCTTAACCCTACCATATAAATAGGGTCTTGGAGAAGGATTAGATGAAGAAGAAGAAGAAGAAGTGGGTAGTAATCTTTGTTGCCTCTTTATTTTTTTAAAAGCTCGAAGAAACCCTCTTGTGAACCTAGATTTTACAGAACTAGGGTTTGAAGATATGTGGTGGTATGTCTTAGGATTCATGGATACAATTATGAAAAGAGATCACCAAGACAACTCTCTCTATCTTTACTAGTTTTGAAATTAGGGTTTTGAAGTGGGGTATATATATAGAGAGAGCTAAATTGCTTTTTATGGGATAGATGGATGGATCAAAGTACAAAGATTATTGGTTGGAGAGATACGAGATTTTCTTCTGACACAAAGGGCCTATTTGCTCAGAGAAAAGGTAGATTTAGTTTTATAAGTACTTCTGACACATATTTAAAGGAATATAATATCATATATTTCTGTAAATATATGAATAAAGAGAACTGAACCCAGAAAATTTGATGAAAAAGGTAGAAGAAGGTGGAAGAAAGCAGAGAGAGAGGTGGAGATGAGAAGAGAGATGTGGTTAGCAAAGAAAGAAGAAAACAAATAAGGAGAGCAAGAGATAGAAAATGGAAGGTGTGCAGAGGAAGGAGAGTTGGAGAATCAATCTCTTAAGTTTATATTATCAGCGTGGTTGTCGAAAGAGTTTATAATATTTTCTAATTAAAGAACTAATAAATTCGGTTTTACTTACTCTAATTATTTATTTCATTTTCAGGGTGAGGGTTTGGCCAATGAAAAAAGTGAGCTTTGTGGGGCCACAAATTGCCAACTACCATATGATCGCACATGGTTCCCTTTTCCCACTTGAATTGTGGGTCCTTTTACTAGTAATTATATTAACTAATTAAAATTATGGTATATATTTGGGTTCTTGTGATGGTGATGGATGAATAATAATGGAGGACGTGGAATGATTTGATGGGGTGGTAATGTCGGCACTTAAAATGGATAATGGATTACACAAACACAACCAAAGCTTAATCACTTCTTTTGATTTTAATTAATTAATTCAAACTTTATTAGCAAGTAAAGAATCTTAGCCTATCACATTATAACATTTCCTTGGTTTGATTGTGATACTTTAACTAATTAATTTAATTAAACTTTCCTTTGTTTCCATGTTTTCAATAAAGTGGACAACATTAGGTAAACTTATTATCTTTTTATCATTATAATCTCACATATATTAATTTATATTCTGAAAAAAAAAAAATAATAATACACCCTCTCATTTTGGTTCAATAGTTAAGATCCTTATTAGTAGTTGCAGTAATTCAAATTTATGACCTCTTAAGTAATAGATTAAATTACACCTTCTAGACAGTAGTGGACCCGAACCTAAGGATAAATACAATTATCTCATATTCTTAAATCTTAACTATAAATATTAAATCGAATTAGAACCCGTGACGGTTGCAAAACGAATTTAGGTCCATAGTTTTGTCATATTACACAAACATTACCCCTAGCATTAGTTTTTGCCATTAAGTCTAACAGAAGACCATGTTTGACTAGAATTGACTAAAATACCCTTGAAATGAGAAAAAGAACAATTGGTTAGTTATTGTTGATTTGACATTGGGTCACGTAAACCATATTAAATTAGTAAATTTGACATGGAGCAAATAACATAATTTTTTTAACTAAAATATATTTTAGGAAAATTATATTGTTTTATATATTGTCAATAATAAAAGAATATATTGATTTATTCTTATATTTACTGTTAATAAAAACTTATATTAATTGAACCTTTATTGTGTTAAAAAAAAAAAAAAATCATGATCAATTTTATTTACTAAAATAATACTTTTTTTTTTTTTTAAATCAATGGTTTTTTACTTAGGATTCTTATTATTCAAAGAAATAATGAACACTATATTAAAATGTTATTGAGTGTATGCAAACAATTATGTGCTAAAAATAACTCATAGGGGACGTTTGGTTGGGGGTTATTGAAGATTACTGGGGTTAAGTCATCTTATATTACTTAATTACCATGTTTGGTTGTCAAGTAATATAAGATATCAGTAATCTTCAAATACTAATAGTGGTTACTATTGGTCATATTGGAGGTAATCTGATTATCTTCATTTTCTTAGGTATTTTAAGATTATCAGGGTTATCTTTTTTTGTTACAATTCTATCCCTTATTAATAAAATTTTAGGACAATAATATCCTTATTTTTGAATTTATTTACATGAATATGACTTTTACTATTTCACCCCAATTAATTAACTTTTTGGACAAAATTACCCTTGAATTCAAAACAAATTGCAGCCCACCCAAGCCACCACCCCCACCCACATGCCGCCGCGACCAGTCGCCGGAACGGCGCACGAAAGGCCGAAAATGGCCGCCGTGCGTCGATATGGCCAAATCCGTCGATCTGGCCATCGACAGCCAGATCTGTCACATCCGGCCATTTCCTGTCTTCCGTGCGCCGTTAGATTGTTGACTGCTGACATCCTGCGATGGTTACCAACGGCCAGCAGTGGCTGGGTTGGTGGGGCTGTTTTGATGATTTTCCAAACTTTTATTATGTGGTTATTTTTGCTAAGTTTTTAAATGCAGGGGGGTTAGAATAATCCAAATAATAATTAATATTAAAAAATAATATAATAATAATATTTAATTAGAGGATAATTCAGTAATTTAAATAACATACCCACCAATTTATTCTTCCCAACCAAACATATTAATATAACATACCCACCAATTAACCAAACACATTTTCCTAAAGATTCATAATAATCTTCAAGGTAATCTAACTTTCCAATAATCTAACATTCTTAGTAATCCAACATTACTTGAACCAAACACCCCCTTAGTTAAAAATTCCTAGCGAGTATCTTTAAATGTATTTTTATAAATTTAGTTAAAATTCATTTAAATCTATTTAATTGTTAATACATAAATAATTAATTAATTAAGAAATTTAAAGATGACAGTTCATGAATTTGTTTTTTGAAAAATCATTTAAGATAAATATATTATTTTGAAAAATAAATTCTTGTCAATAATTGACTAATAATGAGCCTATGATTATGAAAGAATTTCCATTATTAAATCATGATTTTATAGTTGAATTACATTTTTTCCCTTCAAGGTGTTAAACTTAACGGCCAAATTTGACGGCAGGGGTAGTGTTATGTAATATGGCAAAACTCTGGACCTAACTGAATTTTGCAAACGTCAGGGGTACTAATTGGATTTAATCCAATAATCTAGAATACTTATTTTTATATTAAGAAAGTTCCATTTTGAGCTATGCCATAATCTTCTGACTTTTCCAATTTAATTAATTAATATAGAATTGAAGTTGGTATATCGCCAACTCAGTTGTAGACTTTAGTTTTATACATTAATCTTTAATTTATAATAAACTTCATTGATGGTTCTGTTTATTATAATAAATTCATGCAAGTGTATATATTTAATGAAAAATAAGTTGTATAATTCTTGTTCCATGTTGTCGATCTGGCTTGAGAAGAACAATTTCATTGAGTTGATGACATTTTCCCAACCGAAATATGGCTTAATGACATTTTTTCACTCTCACACTTTTAAAATACCAGTTTACTACTCAAAACATAAATCGCCCATGGTTGCTTGGCCCTCACGATGGGTTTGAGTCGCTATGTGAGGGCCTCGTGGCTGCCAGATTTTGCCGCCACAAAGCCCTCATGCTACAACTGTCAAGATCGACAAGTCTAACAACGGCGGCAAGTTCAAGGAGATATCCATGAATGCCGCCCGTGGTGTCGGAGGATTGTCATAGCGATTGTGATTCATCTTCATCAGTGATTGACGATGATGGAGATATTGCGTTGTCTTCGTGCAAGAAGTCATTGCCATTTGATCTAAACTGTCCACCGTTGGATGATGTTGATTTCAACAGTGATGATCTGCAGTGCACCGCTTTATGTCTCCGTTGGTGGTATTTGTTAATAGATTTTTTTGTTTTTCTTTTTCTCTATTATGCGGGGAAAAAATAGAAGAAAAAAAAGAGATTAAGATGAAATGGTCTTAATTTTATGAGTATGATGATGACGATGACAACATGATGTCTTAAAGATTGGTGTGTGGTTAGTAGATGTTTGGATTTACTTGATAATGAAGGCTTTGTGAAGAATCTGAAAGATGGGAGGGACGGTGAATCAGTGATAGGCGGATTGAGTCTATTGACTTGATATATAATAATAAATAAATTTTTAATTCAAACAGTTAAGGGTAGTTTTGTCTTTATACTGAATATTATTGTTTTTAACATAAACTATTAAAGGAATCTAATGTTTGGGTAGTAAAATAGTCTCTAAAAATTTTGAGGGTAAAAGTCATTTACTCCAATTTCATTCCGCAAACGAGGCAGGAATTTTTTCTCATTCTAAACACAAACTTATATCATCTATTTACTAAACCCTATACAACGTTTAAATTTAAAGTAAGTATCAGAAAAATTAATATAATTTAAAGTAATAAGATTAAGGGGATGGACGAAGACCAACATAAGCAACCTCTGATGATTAATAATGTCAAGTTGGCATAATTAGAAGGAAGAAGACATTGAAGCATGGATGGATGTATGGTTATAATCTGAAGAGATGGACCGCATTAACACTAGTCAAAGTTGGAACGTGTGCCCAAAGGAAAGTTACTACTACCATGGATGCCTCATTTGAGTTTATTAATGACAACTTAAATTGATTATAATATAACATTGGTTTCGAACATCCATCATCAAGTTTTTATGTTATATCTTATTTTATACTCCCAATTCAGAACCCTACATTTGCATTTCTTATTTGAGATTTTCTAGGGCTTATTTTCTGCATTCGGGCTAACTTACACACTCCTCAATCAATTTTTCAAGGTCCGAAGTTAACGATCAGGTAAACTCTTTATTGGCCATCCTTATTAACAATCGAGAAAAATCGAATTTAAGATCTCTTAAGTAATACATTCAAAAGTCTTTATCATTCTATTCGATCATCCAAGGGTGATTTCTTTTCTTCTCCTTTTTAAAAAGAAGATAGTGTTGAATAGAGGGGAAAGATGAGCATGGAGGTGGGGCAAATGTTGCCTATGGTTAGAGATACATCTAAGTTTTACAATTAGACTCTTTAACCAACTCTTAATTATTATGTTTTTTTTTTTCCGTTTTAGCTAAGGCATTCACGTGCTCTTTTCTTTCTTTCAAGGACCACTTCATCCACACTAGTTATCTCGTCCCTGTTACGCTTCTATCTATTTCCACCACTCATTATAATACTAATACTTTTACTAATCTTTAATTTCACATTTAAATGTTAAGTTTATAATTGTATTATTCCCAAACAGCTTCTAGAGCGCCATCAATCCACAGTATTTCAAGGAATCAATAATTGCCAAGGACCCAAGAATATGAGCTGAGAATGATTCTCTTTTTCTTTCGGTCGTGTTGGGGACTGTCAGTTATCAGTTGTTTATATCATAATGTTCTGACCTGAGAATTATTCTATATATATATATGTATTCTTTATCAAGACATTCCAATAATTTTTATTATGTAGACTTTAAATTTTAGCCGTTAGATATTTTTAGTGTTTAAAATTTAATCAAATTTAAAAGACACATAATATAAGAGTTTATACAAAATACAAATTACTCACGAGAATAATGTGAGAAAAATGAAAACAGTACGTGAGAGAGAAAGTGTAATAATAATTCTGTCCTAATATTAATTACACCAAAGCCATACTCAATTAAATTCTCATATGTTATATCATTTCTATTTCAAGACTAAATCCAACTATATTTAAACACCGTTATGTTATAAATAAATATCAGGACAATCTTAATAATTCTCTACTAGGACACCCTCATGTTAGTTATATGAGGACCACTCTTAATCACTATTAGATTCTCATTTATAAATATCATTTCAGTCTCATAGTGAATTTAATAGTATTTAAACATGATCCTCATATAAACAATCCTAACTACAAAATTTCTATATATTTTTAATTTTTTAGTCAAGCCGTCCTAGTGTTAATTATATCATTACCATGCTTAATCATCGTTAAATTCTCCACCTTGATATCAACAAAACCATTTGATGAAAATAACATCAAATCTTTGTCATACTTACGGATACCTGATCTGTGTAGATATGATTAAAAAAGGAAAAAAAAGATGAAGAAAAAGATGTTGACTCAAAACTTGCAAAGCCAGAGCCATATATTGTAGTTTACACATATTACATATTTCAATGCTCCTTCACTATGAATGATAGATGATGAAATTGGGTACTGTTATCAAAATTACAGTTGATACAATAGGTATTAATTAAAGAAAAAAAAAAAAAAAAATGAAAGAAAAACTATTCACATATGCAATTGCATTATTTAGCAAAATTTGCTTTAGGAACACTCCAAATCCTATGGTGTCATACAGCAACTTTGCAATCAAATTTTTTTTAATCAAGAAGAAAAATGAAACTTCAGAAGACAAACAGAATTGTGAGCATGTATGTAGTAATAATGGTCACCTATTTATATGTTCCCATTTTCTTCTATTGAAGACTCGGAGGCTGAGTCATCGATTGTTGAATTTGAGATTGTTTCCGACTGGCTTCCATTTTCGCTATCTGAAAACGGTTTCTCTTCCACAGGTTGTTTCATGAACCAGTACATAATACTAGCTGTCAATGTAAGGATCATTTTTTGATTCACCTGTTTGAGACAAACAAAAATAAAAAGACAAATCAAGCTTCCATATTTAGAAACCTTAAGGACTCACTGGTTTTCACATTAACTATGCTCCTCTATAAGAAGAAATGAAATGATAAAGCAATTTCAATATCCATGTTGCCCTTTAATTTCCGGGTAAAACACAATAAAACGGATCAATTTCATGGTTTATTTAGATGATAGTGTTCAAACAAGATATGCACCTGAGAAACATATAAATAAAAATGACAATGATGATTACAAAGATACCTCAGTTATGTCTTCTGGAAGCAAAAATATTGAGCATCCAAGTTTCCTTGCGATGCTGATGATATATGTGGCGTTCATCTTTTTCTCCTCATCTGAAAATCGCTCCCAAGTTTGAGGAAAAAGGAAGAAGAATGAGAAACATAAGAATCCTTCTTTATATAAACCATATCTAACGTTCAATCAGAGTATCATTTCCTCTGATGCTGATGTCAAATTTACAAACTACATCTCCAATTATTATAATATATGATAACTTAATTTTACAATTTCATAGTTCATGCATCATGTTATAACTGATAAATTTAACCACTTTGATCACATAAAATTGGAAGAAAACATACCAGTTATTCCTTTTGTGACAAGGCCCCAATTTACAGCTCTAGGCTGAACAGCACTAAGTAACTCAAGGAAAAAAATGCCGTCTGACAAACGTTTATCCTGTAAAATTAAAAATATTGTAGAATGTGAGCCAGACAGCCGTCAGTTCTAAACCTTGCTATTTCATCAATTCATTTTTCCAACATAAGGTTTGCATCATATTTTAGTATCAAAAATTGATAAGATCATTTAAATTTGCTTTTAAAATTCCTAACAAGGATTCGATTTGTCTGCTGAGATTGCATATGCAAAATTAGGGTCCTAATTGAGTGATTCAAAGTAGATCTAAAGACAGTGTAGCTCATCTATTTACATTATCCAATAAGATTTGGGGATTCTAATAAAGTGGAGAATTTATATGCTATATTGAGAGTTTATATGAGATAAATGGTAGTTTTAAATTTCAAGTATAAAGAGGGCTGTATGGAAAACATCACTGGTAACAATAATTATAATTTCACACAACTCGATAGACTTGATGTTGAAATTTAAACCTCTATCATCTAAAGAGAGACCTAGAAAATGAAGATTGTTATATATGAGATGAAGCCATTACAGAAAAAATACCTTAAAACTACCCATGCGACTTTGGCTTCCTGAGTTGCTCACTTTCGTATTGGCCCATTCTAGAATATCAGCATCAGTAATTCCTTTTACATTGGAATGGAATCTCAAATTCTTCAAAAGTTGAAGGATATTGTATCTCATCAATTGCCACAAATATGCTGAAGAGAAAAGCAAATATTCCTATTTAGAGCAACAATAGTTACATTGTTGTGATGCATTTCTAAAATGACTCTAAAACATCCATTAAAATGTAGGAACAACTTCCAAAAAAATATGTGGTATAGTGGCATAATGAAGAATTACCTAATATCAACTTTTTATTTCCTTGCACAATATCATTTCCTGCAATATTAACTAGGGAAAACTTCAATTGTTTCCCTATTTTTACCACTTGATTACAATTTTCTACTTTCCTGAACGGCAACTTGATTGGAGGCTTATTTGCAATCTTCCAATTAACAATCCCTGGAGACACCTTGTCAAGAGTTTCTAGAAGCACCCACCTGTAGAGGAATATAAAATTTTAGCTTAAGCACTGGAACTTAAGTGAAGAATATAAATTGAGTGAATTCTAATAAAGTGTACTTGATACAAAAACTATAGAGGAAAACATATTTTAGCTTAAGCACTATAACCAAGTGAATCCATAAGAAAGGATACTTAGTTCAACAACAACTTCAATTGAATTTCAAGCCCACAAAACTTTTAAATAACAAAAATTACTCAAATTTTCAAAACAGTTAATATGAAATTCTTCTAGTTTTATTTTGACCAAGAAAGTCAATACAAGATTAAATATCTAGCCAAAATTAGGACAAGTAGAATGTTATGTTTATAACCAAAGCACAATGATACAAATCATTCACAATTAGAAGAGTAAAATACTGTTAATTAGAACAATACTAACCCATTTCTAAGATCCTCAAAGACATTGTCTATATATGTTGAATTTCCAAGACTATTGATCCAAAAGCGAAATGCTCTTTCTTCTCTAGAAATTTGGGTGTCATCAGGTAAAGTTTCAGGAAAAGATATTTGTTTTGTTTGGGTTGAGAGCCCATGCCTGCATGTAAAAGAAATTGTTAGGTTTACGTCTCAACTCTTTAAGAGCAATAACTGGCAACTTCAGAAGCAAGTATTAATCATCAATATCTATTGGCAGCTCAAACATGATAAACCACTACGCCCCATCTAAAGTGTTTCAATATTTTCCTGACATATACAGAATTCCAAGCCTTGATCATATTCTTTCCCTAAGTTTAAGACATTGGAGCTGCCACCAACAAATAAACATGCTGACAAAGATAAAGAACCTAATATGCAAGCATAAAGACTAAAAATCAACCAAATCCAGTATCAGTTACAATTTGGGATTTAAAAAATACATATTTTATGCGAAAATACAAAAGATCACCCCTGCAATCTTATGTAAAAAGTTCACCAGACCTTGAAACTGTTATACTGACTGAATACAGAAATTTTCAAACTAAAGGACATGCATGATGTATTGAAAACATTAAAAACCTATTTCTATGACAACAGGTTCACAATGCATTAATAATGAACAATCATGAAATTTAGAGCACAGCAATAACTTTTATAAACACCAAGCAAACCTTTTCGAATAATATTCATAGCTAATTAAGGAGAGGATACATTCTTACCTATGCTGAAAAATATGTGCAACAAAAGCAAGATTGAGATTTGGGGAACCCTCCACAATATCCTTAGCAGTTAAGTATCTCCGGCAACCCATCTTATCTGCATGTTCAAGAATTAACTTTGCTCTTTGCAACAGATCTTTGACAGCCAATGTAGATGGATTACTATGTTCAGGGGCAAGGACATTTAGAAGATGAGCATAAGCTTCTCCATCCTGAATGTAGCAAATTGTATATTCAACACCAGCATTATCCAAAGAGCAAATATCAAATATTAAAATCTTCTGAAGTCATCAAACTACAACATGGTAAACATGTAATCAGGTTACTTGGCTTTTGACACCAATAATTAAGAAGAGAATTGTTTAAGAATACTAACCGTTCCACTGTTTGAAGATGTCAGCATTTAATTAAAACTTGAAACACCCATTTGAAGAAAGATTTTTACTTCAGTATAGAACCTAATAGCCTAACAAGCTAAAATTACAAGAAAAACAAAAAGATTCATTGGTGATGATAACAAATGAATTGTCAAGGTTCTTGTCTATATCTTTAGAACCTTAAAAAATGCTAAAGTAATTATTAAGTAATATTCAGTTGTGGTTTGAGCTGAATATATCACCAACAACTAGACATAATCTTAAAAATCTTGAACAAAGGCCTATAGTTTCATCACAAACACAAATCTGAAACACCATATTCTTCTGCTTGAAAGGTACTACAAAAGCAAATGAAGATTGAAATGGATATAAAGTAGTCCAAAAATATATTATCTTACAGACATCTCTGACGTAACTCTCATTTACCTTTATATCAGAAGAAAAGTTGGTTACTATTTTTTTGTATCCGGCTTTCTTCAGATGAAAATTCATCCACCTCAATAAGATCTTCTCCGGAGGTAGGCTCATCAACTCTTCCACATCCTGTTGGTTTTGAACATAAAAATGCAACTTATGTCAGAAAAATGAGAAATTCCTATTACAATACAAACCAATACTTCAGTTGAAAGAAGACATCTTTACCTTACTATCATCAACCAACTGCAACAACTGAGGTGTTTTCTTCAGGTTGAGGTCTGCCAACAATTGTATCTAGAATAATACCACAACCATTGGGAAGGTCAATCAATATCTATATTAGCACAATTTCCAAAAAAGAAAAAAAACAAATAAAAGAATGAAATGTTCTCAGGTCAAACGAAATGTTTGTTATCTTATTATCTTCAAAATGTGAAATTCAGTGGATAGCCATCAGAATTTTACCTTAATGATTTGAGAAATCAGTCCAAGCATGAGATGACGCTGAAGTAAAACCAAAAAGCGCATCATTTTTACTGATCAATATAATGTCAAAGGCTGAGTAAAATAATAATGACAAAAAATTGAGCATAATAAAATCTAGGTTACAGGGGACATCAGTAGAAATGCAAATGGGCATACCCTTCCTTCAATGAAATCTTGGGTCCCTATATTGACTACAGTGCATCCAATGGCCTTAGCAGAGTTGAGGCAGAGTGTGTGATTTTCATTTCTTTCCCATGGATTAAGCACTCTCTTAGTATTAATAGCTCTTTCATCAATTGTACCAGGAACTGCCACGTTGATAAGCTTACTGCACCACCAAAAAAATGAAATCAAACTATTGACTCATCTGTGATCAAAGAACAATATAATGACTAACAGTTATACTTACCAAAGAAGAACTCCATCCTTTGCAATCTCAAAAAGATCATTAGACGAAGGATCAATTGGGAGGTATTTCTTCAGAAATTCATCTTCTGCTAGGTAGTTATTGATATGTGCAACATATGATGATTTTTCTGATTCGCTAATGGTGTGAAGCAATGTAGTAGTTGCAGCCTTGAGGAATGCAGATGAGTTCTTTGCATTAGTTCCTGTTCTTGCATGGGCATGCGCTTGTAGTTTCAAATAGACCTGCCAGAATTTTGAACACAATATTTCACTTCAAACGTACAGAGAACGGAATAACTTGTTTCAAAAAACAATCAAATAGTTAATTTTCAAATTTTTAACAGAAAAAAAAAATGTTCAAAGACCAAATATTTTCCAAACTCAATTAATTATAAAATAAAAAAGTTGAATTTCAAATTTCAAGACCTATTAACCTGTTTATCTGAAAATATATCTATATATATAGACAATGAAAATGGTGTTAAACAACTTGTTCAATACCTGTAAGGTCAAAGAAAGACTAGCTGTATATTAGGAAATCAAAGAACAATACAAACTAATTTTAAAACAGACAAAAGGGGAGAAAAAAAAAAATCTGAGGCCCATGCACATGAATGGTTAATTTTTTTTTTTTTTCAAATGATGATGAGAACTTTAGCTTGTTTGGCTGCTGAGAAAGTAATGATACTTAACAATAAAGTTAAATGACCTGTCATCCATCCAGAACATCAGTGAACGACTCGTCCAACATAAAGAAGATCAAAGGATGAATTATAGTCGTCTAGTAATGAGAGGAACAGGCAATACATCGATGATAATTTCATTCACAAATCCAAAAATAAATATAACAGTTAACTATATTTTTTGAAAACAAACAGTTTATCTAGCGTATCTGTAAGCTTCAATAGACGACAAATCAAAGTATAGAAGACCAAGAGGACGACTTGTCGCCTCCATTTAAAAGATAAATTGTTAAATTTCGATTCACAAAGCCAAAAAGAAGAGCAACAAACAATTAACTTACTTTCAAGAAAAGCTCGAAATCAACCTCATCGATGAGGTTGTTCGGATACAAATCTTGAATAAACAAAGCTCGTTCTTCTTCACTGAGATTCTCTCCGACTACCTTCAATCTGGACATCCTCGAAGCCAAGTCGCTCACAATAAGCTTTCCACTCTCTCTTCTCATGCTCATAAACTAAAATTAACATGAAATTCAAAAAACATTAAAAAAAAATTGACATTCATCGAACAAACAGATCAAAAGAAGAAAGAAAACGGGAGAACTTACGTGAGTCTTTAAGCTCCGAAGCTCCACCTGCGTGAACTGGTTCTGGAGCGACGGATCTGAAACCAAAATTCCGACGTACCCTGACATTTTCTAGAAAATGATTTTGAAATTTTATGTGAGACTGAGAAAGGGAAAAAGATTTGAAGAGGTTCTTTGAATCTAAATTGTTTTGGTTTGGTTTGAGCAGAGTGTGACTAGGTGGGACTGGAAGTGGAGCAAAGCAAAGCAAAGTATGCGTTGTGTGTTTATGATTTTTGAATTACAATTCAAATTATGACCATTTTGTCCCTTTGAAACTTATTGTATTGTGTTCTCTCTCTGTGTGTGACTAGGAACTTGGACCCCACTCCACTTGGATTGGGGCATCTGCTGTCCTTTTCATAATTCAAAATATATATGACTGATTTGTCCCAAACCACCAACTTTATTTTCAAATTTATTGTAACTAATCTATAATGAAAATAAGGATACTAAAACATATCATTTGAATCCATTGAATTTCATAATATTATAGTAAATTTTTACCATAAAATTACGTACCCATCTATCCATTAAGCTTGTAATACTAAATTGTGATTGATTGTTATCTTTTCCCTTATTTTTATATTGAATTGGACAATTTTATCATTTATAATTGGTCCCAAAAAGTTTTTCGATTCACTTGTTTGATTAGGTTACATCTCAAAAGTGCTTAAAGGATTTAAATAAAGCTATTTTACGATATATAAAATAAACTCTTTTTTAGCTTATTTGAAATGTAGAAATAAGCTCTACATGAAACATACCCTAATTATTTCTTCTTTATTTGATACTCTTTCTTGATTCCCCTTTGGGGTTAGGTTTTATTGATTAATAAAATTAAATTTGGTTATGGTTAGATGATTCATCATGAATGGCATTTATAATTTGGATGGGAAGTAGTTTAAAAGGACAATCTGGTAAGTTAACATAAGATGATGATTTGGGCATCCTACGAATTTTGAGCCCCACGTGAAGCAAAGCTTGCTTGCTTTTTGAAAAGTTCTCAAGTTAAAAGACTTTGATTACGGAACGGTCATATTTCAAATTTATTATTACCTTCGACTTCAATTACAATTCAAACCACTTGCTTACTGGTAACTCCTATTGCAAAATACATTTTTCTCCTTCGGTTTCAAAAACACCCCGTGTCATTGTTAACTCCAATAATGCTACAGACACACTTGCACCGAATGACGTGTCAGCTCAGTAGATACAATTACGTAACATATTATTAAATAGTTCGCGAATGAATAGACGTTTATAATTATTGGACAATCGTTCATTTATAATAGACTCTCATTCATAAAAAATTCATTCTAGGTGAACGCTCATCCATAATAAATATTCATCCATATATTATAAACAAGCGTCTATATTCAATGTACGTCCATATTCATTGTTTGAGTTAAAAAAATTTATACACAATTTTGAGACTCAAATGCTTTAGCTTGATTACCTGCTCTGAAAGCTATGCCATCTGGGACCATATATTTATTAATCAAGTTGCTTTAAAAATTTTATATGTGATATTTTTTATTTTCTTGTATATATGTTGTATGGTAGGTAAGGGTACGTATCAACATATTAATTATTTTGCTTTCCGAAATAAAAAAGATGTATAATCCATTTATGAAAATTGTATTAACTCTTTTTGTGTATAAAATTTGTTAACTCAAACAATGGACCGGCATCCATCCAATAGGGATGCCCATCCATGATTTTTGTTTTAAAAACTTTTTATTTTAAACAATAGACAAGTGTCCATTCTACGTAGACGTCCGTCTATTGTTATTTTCTCATGAACGGGAGTCCATTTAAAATGAACAATCATCTAATAATCATAGACGTCCGTCCATATTTGATGGACAATCGTTCATTCATGAAATATTTGTTAATATGCTACGTGATTGCGTCTACTCAATTGACACGTTATTTGGTGTAAAATTTCGGTGCAAGTCTTCGATGTCCGTAACATTATTGTTGTTACCCCCAACGTTAGCCTCCGTCTATCTCATGTTTTGTTTGATTAGTTTCGACTAATACCATAATTGCATTATTGAAAAAGTATTTTATTTTAATTAAAAGAATGGTAAAAGAGTAAGAAATGTTATAATTGATGAGAAATGAAGAGGGTAAATAAAGTAAATAATATAGCATAATGCACATCACAGTTAGGATGAAATAGAAACATAAAACGGGGCATGTGAAAGAGGGGACCAATGACAGAGAGATAGAGATAGAGATATTGTAGCAGAAAATGGAGGTGTTTATGAGTTTGACTGATTAGATTTGATAAATGGATGTGCTCTTATAACTAACATTAATTCTTTCTTATTATATGATATTAACTACTTTAAAAAACCTATATTTGATTTGGGTCATTAATCAAATTTAGCCTAAAGAAATGGAAAAAAACAATTATTTTGACGCATGTTTTCTTCTTAATTAATTAATTAATTTGTCCAACTAATCAAAAACAAAGTAGACAAATATTTTTGAGATCAAATTAAAATCTTTGTTTAGCTTCATGGAATTACTTTCATGTCTCAATGGTAATGGAATTTGAACTTACGAATATAACATGGACCGACCAACAGGCAACAACATCTGCCAAATGCCAACCTTCAAATTCCCAAATGCAATGTCTTTATCTTGCAAAAACAAATCCCATTTTATGCCAAAACATAAAATCTTTCATTGAACATTTCATTTCCAAAGCTTTGAATATGATAAATTTATTTGTTTCATGTATCCTAATCTTTAATGATCTCAAATACAACTCCTAGTCATATATTAATTAGATTTTAATCTATTCAAAACACATAAAAGTTGTGTCTTTAATGTATAGAATAATAATAACAAAAAGAGCGTTTGTATTGGTCAATGAACTGATTGTATATGTCAAATATAATAACATCACTTTATATTATGATATGCAATTACCAAAATCACTACATTAAGTTTTCCTTGGTGTGATTTGTGACAAGGTTCTTTAGTGCATTGACACAGGTGAGACAAACATATGAATACTAGAAAGACCAACCAGGTAGCATTCCTCGACGATTCCACCACCTGTATGATATCCTATCTAGCCCATAGGTTACAACAGGGTCGAGACAATCATGACAGTCAATCTTATCGAGATATAAATGTGTAGCTTAGGTAAGTAGAGGCTGAGACTTCACACCCACATGCAGATACATATCAAGTGCACTAATATACGTCTAATTTGGTGACTAACCCATAATAGAGATGAATTTACATCATCTTAAATGAAATATTTCGCTCCAAATAGAAACTAAAAATAACATTGTCACTTGAGTCATTAACCAAATGTTTAATAGTTGCATAATAAAGATGTGTCACGTGGGTAATATCAAATTATTAAAAAGGAATAAGCAAATGGGAAAGTGGGGAAAAGAAGAGAAAGGTATGGTGACAAATCCAAGTCGGTGGGAGGTTTATGTTAAGTTAAAGGCAAAACTAAAAGGCAAAGTGTTGTGGGGAAAAGGGATTTGTAAATAATTGTAGGAATGTGTAGCAATCCTTGCCGTGTTTGCTTCTACTCCTCACTACACACCCAATCCCCCTAATTTATATTTATATTTATATTAATAGTACCAATTTGTTTTAGGTAGACCCTTAACCCACATGCCATTCCACTATTTTGTTAACTGGAATTTCAATCTTCATCATTGCTTGCTGATTCGCTTCTGGTTATGTTTTTATAAGAGGATTGTATGTTTTCATAATGGGGGGACTGTGAGAGAAGATCATCACTTGGAAAAACAATCTCTCTTCCCATTACAAAATGTCAATATTTCATGTCCAATCTTCTTCAGTAATGTTGAAATGAAAGCACAAAAACTAATATTTTTATTCTAAGTCTAAACATATCCTTTTTAAGATAACAGAGATACACTATAATACATAATAGGAAAACGAAATAAGATTATCGACGATCATCACCCGGAAAACAAACTCTCTTTCCATTATCAAATTTCTTATAATATAATATAAGAAATTCTTTAGTACAACCGTGTTACTAAATCTAATTCTCAACATGTTAAAGTTGTGTTTAAAAGACATAAATAACCAAAAAAAACAAATCATGTGAGTTAACCTAATTGCCTTCAATGAAAATTACAAAGACAAAAATAACTGAAATGCACTAAGGTTCCTAAGTCTAGTATGATCTAGCATGCCTTAATCAAGCTATTAAACGTCAAATAATCATGTGAGTTGAAAAAACATATCATTTATCGTTTCATTAAGGGTATAATTGAAAATCACTTGAGTTTACAATTAGATTTATACTTTAAATAAAACATTCACATTTAGGGAAATTCAAATATTTAGTGATCATCGAGAAAGCAAACTCTCTTCCTATTACAAAATGTTTATTATTTATATTAAAATGAAAGCACGAAAAGAATATTATTATTTAAGTCTAAGACATCCGCTTAAGTTAAACTGGATTAGATACTTTCTCATTGGAGATATGAACTTGAAGAAGCTGAGTAACCAAAAAACGAGTCAAGCTTAAAGACAAAAATAAAGATAGATAATTGAGAAATCAAGAAATAGGTCAAATAGAGAGATGAAAACTAAAATAGATATCGGAGAAAACACTATGATATAAAAATATATCTATTGTTTGACCCTTTTACTTAGCTTCCAAATTACATGAAGCTAAAACCAACTGAGGATCGAGAATATAATCACCCCAGCATATGGCTCAAAGGACTACTATATAATGAAATCAATCTTTGACCATCATTAGTTTCAACAAATGCACATCCATTTAACTATTGTCCAGTTTCCCAAGCTATCCAAATTTTCAGATAATTAATAAGAGTAAGCACTATTTACAATTTGTCCTTCTGCAGTTGAAATTAACGGACAAACTGTAACGGTGGTGGGAAAATGTCATTAAGAGACTTAGCTGGTGCGAAAGTGTTATTAGGCCAAACCTTCGGTGGGACGCTTTCTTTAAATAATTGCATCAAATATTAGGGAAGTGGATTTTAGTCACCACTTATTCGATCAATATCCCCCATTACTAAATACACCAATTTTGTATTTAAAAAATTATATTTAAACCCCATTTAGTACCCAAAATACCCTTCAAAACTTAATTAGAATTATCTTTACACCCCTTTCTCCAATTTCAATTTTAGAATAAAAAATATCAATTTTAAATGGTACGAAATATGAAGAA